TTCCAAGCCGAGGTCGAGAGTGGAGAAGGTAGAAGTCCGTTTTCCAAGCCGAGGTCGAGAAGTGGAGATGGTAGAAATCTATTTACAAGCCGAGGTCGGGAGAGGAGTGGAGCCGGTAGCATTCAGTAGAGCAGCTGATCTCAATGCAGTACCTGCGTGAATAATCCAGCCCTTTGAATCTGGCGCGGTCTTCCTAAGTATCGTGGAAGGACCGCGTCAGAGAAAGGGGCGGGGCTAAGCGCCGTGAACCCGGAAGTGGGTTCCGGCGGCAGTATGAATGATAGAGTATACCTGACACCAAACATCATTGCGCCTGAATGAATCCATCCTCTCAGACGAACTGTTGGTGGAAACGGCGAGACAGAACCTGCAAGATTATTTCATGGACAACGAAACAACCACCCTGATGTGCTGGGAGGCACACAAAGCAGTCATCTGCGGGCACTTCATAGCGGTCTGTTCCAAATGTAAGAAGGGCTCGACGGAAGTGATCCTTGACCTCAGCGGAGAAATCGCGACCTTGGAATCACAGCACAAAAACACACTGGACAAAACGACTTACCAGGACCTCCTGCTCAAACGCGGCCAACTCTCCACACTCCTAAACCCCTCGACCCAACGTTCATTCCAACACTTTCAACACATGATCTACAAACATGGGAACAAGTGCAGTAGACAACTTGCGTACCTACTAAAACAGCGTAGGACCCACTATATATCCTGAAAATTAAAGACTCTGGACAGCAAATCAACACCTCCCCGACCGAATCACGGAGACGTTCCTCCAGTACTACTGGGGATTATAACACATAAGTCGAGATGAACAGGAGGAAGCAGACCCCCGCAGATGAGAAGAGGTCCAATGCTGTTTGATGTCCAGTTGTGGTTTGGTGTGGTCACACTTGTTGGTTTATTTGGATGATCTGTGGGAGGAAACCTGCTTATGTTGAAAATGTTTTGAGCATAATAAATTTATTGATCTGTAATAAGGAAAATGCATACTTACCATAATTTTTTTTTCCTGGATATCACTCATGATATCACTATTTAACTACTGGGTTAGCTCTTCCCTCTAGCCAATAGGGCATGTTAAAAAAAACAATGAATCAATTTCCTGATTAGTACGAGGGTCATGCAGTGAGGAGGGACTGCCGCAGGAGTGGACAGATGCCGCCTCTGGAGGCATAAGGGTGCTGGTCGATCAGGTAGTCGAGAGTGGAAGATTTGTATAAGTCAGGGTGCATGGACATTTTCTGCAGGTTCCCAAGATCTTTCTTCAGGTCCATAACCTTTCCAGTGGATGAGGTATTCTATAATTGTTCTGCATCTACAAGAATCTAGAATCCCTTGAACTTCGTATTCAGGTTCTCCATCAACTGTTATGGGATCAGGAGGTGGTATATCTCTGTTTGGAAATGGATTTTCTTTGGCAGGTTTGTTCAGAAAACCATGGAATGAATGGGTGTATTTGATATTGACCTGGCAGATCTAATCGTACTACAACAGGAGAGACAAGTTTAGAAATTCAAAGGGACCAATAAAATTGGGTCCCACTTCCTTGGTAGGACAGGTTAGTTTCAAGTACTTTGTTGATAACCAAACCAGTTGGCCCACTTGATAAGTGGAGATTGTCTTTTGAGATTGTCATATTTTTTATAGGTTTCTTGGCTCTCTTGTAGGGTCGATTGGGCACATAGAAAACCTTGTGCTAGTTGCTGTAAATGGACCGTGACAGCTTTAACAGGTGTAAGTGGGGGACTTCCTGGAGGGGTATTAGGATTAAAACCATAATTAAACATAAAAGGAGATTCCTGGGTGGAATCATGTTGCTTTGAGTTATAGGCAAATTTAGCTGTAGAACCCAGATTGTAGATGGTACAATAACAACTTAGGTATGTTTCCAGGGTTTGGTTTGTTCTTTCGGTTTGTCCATTGGTTTGGGGATGGAAGGCAGTGGGGAGGTCTAAGGATATTTTGAGTGATTGACAGAAGGCTTTCCAGTAGTGGGAAGTGAATTGCGTCCCTCTGTCTGATAGGATAGATTTGGGGATTCCATGAAGTTTAAAAATGTTGTTGAGTAAAAGGATAGCTGTTCGTTTGGCCATAGGGAGTCCCTTAGTTGGAACAAAATGTGTCATTTTTGTTATACGATCTACAACAACCATAATGGTCTCTCAATGTGATCAAAGTTTGTGCAAAATGTCTCCGCCATGTTCGTGTCTGGTATAAGAAATCTTTGAACTCCTGCATGGATTTATCTCTAATAACTCTCACAATTTTTTCTTTGAATGAATAAGAGTGAAAGTTTACAATAACGTCTCTGGGTTGCTTATCCAATATATTCTTTGGTTTGTATAACCTATGGATTCTTTCCATTTTATATTCGGATGGGTCAGTTTCTGGTTCGATTTTCTTGTACATCTCTTCTAGAAAGTATTTGATTTTATCTTGTGTGATGCAAAATCGCAGATTTGATCTCCTTGATCGATCTTCTAATTCTCTTAGTTTGTATTCCAAACCTTGGACCTTTTCAGTTAATTGTATGTTATTTTCTTTTAGAATTGTATGTGAATCCATATTAGTTATTTTTTCCTCTAATGAAAAGATTTGTTCTGCCATGATGTTAATATACCTTTTGATTTTTACAGAGCGGTGTGCTATTTCATCTTTAGGAGTTAGAGCCATATCTGTTAAACATTGTTTCAAGAACTCTTTTGTCATTACCCCTCTTCAGATTGTAGCCCTTCTTCTTGGGAAGTCTCTTGGTAACTAATATTCTGAATACCTGACAATTTGTCTCCTGTTTTCTTCTGTTTGTTCTTTTAGGGAATTAGGTGAAAAGAAGCCTGAAAGTCTTTTTTCTGCTTTAGAGTCCTTAAAGGACCACAATAGGCAGCTCAATGAAGTGGTCTGGCTGCCAGGTCCATCTAGGGTTAACCCTGCAGCTGTAAACATAGCAGTTTCAGAGAAACTGCTATGTTTACATATGGGTTAATCCAGCCTCTAGTGGCTGTCTTCCTGACAGCCACTAGAGGTGCTTCTCACTGTGAAAATCACAGCGAGGAGACGCTGCCGTCCATAGGAAAGCATTGAGAAATGCTTTCCTATGGACTGATTGAATGTGCGCGTGGATGGCGTCGGAAGACGGAGGAGAGTCCCCAGTGCCGAGGGAGCCCGGTGCTGGAGAAAGGTAAGTGTTTAACCCCTTAACGCCTCTTGAGCCTAGCGGGAGGGGGACCCTGAGGGTGGGTAGGACCCAAAGACCCTATAGCACCAGGAAAATTAGTTTCTTTTCCTGGCAATATAGTGGTCCTTTAACATCTCTCTTTTCTTTCTTCTTATCCTTTTCCATTGTGCCATTTTTTTACTTCTTTTCCTCCTTCTTCTCTCTACTTCTCTTTTTCTTTTCCTCCTCCTCTCTCTCCGTCCTGTTTGCCCAACTGTAAATTTTCAACAAGTTACTCACAGGTCGTGTTTTTTATCATTTAAATTTCTTCAGGTGCTTATACTTGTTTGCAGAGTAATTTATTAGGACTTAACACCGCCTCTTGTAGCCAAAAATATTCACTGTTGCATCAGTGGTATCACTGCTTACATTTGATTTTTTAGTCTTTTAGAATTTCTGCACTTCAGGTATCTTCCCCTTTGCAAAATAAGTTATTCCAGCTTGATACTGCTACTGGCAACCCTATGCCATCCTCACTGGTACCACCGCATACTTAGAACTTAGTTCTATCTATTTAACAAACAAACAAAAATACACAGAAAGAGGAGTCGGTTTCTATATGATAGACCTCTGCAGTTATATGATATATTCTCTGTTTATAATATGCTCTTTGAAGATTTCAGCACTCAAAACACTTCCTGTTTAACCAAAAAACATAAAAAAAATTAAAAAGGGGAAAAAGTTGTGTTTATATATTCAACTATATTCAGACTCCTCAAGTCACTTGCTAATTTATTAGTAATTTCAGCTTTCATAAAAAACAGTCCCAGGTTCTCCAGTAGTAGTTTAAAGATTACCAAGACTCAGCCGTAACTTTTTTCCCTTTCTGAAGTTATGCACATTCTAATTAAACTTTTTGTACATTTTAACTTCAAATAGCTTCAGTAGCTTCAGAATTTCATGTAAATTAGCTTCAACCGCTTTCCTTGATCTTTTCTGGTATCTTGCCAGTACACATGCTCAGCCTTTATAACTCTTTTTTTTCTAGCTTCACACACGAGGTGATTACGGTAAGTTTAATCAGAACTCCAGCGAGCAGTTTTATATATAAGTTCTCACTTATGCAGCTTAACATGCTCATTTTCAGTACCCCTTTTGCCATTATGCAGCTTCACATTTTCAGTACCCCTTTCGCCATGTTCTTTGCTGCTGTGGTGTCGCCCTCTGTTTTAACCAAATTCTCTGCCCTGATTCTTTGATGTTAGGAACTCAGTCGGACCACCGAACAGGGTGTGTGTCCCTTCCTCCCAGTGTGAGCGTGATCGTACACGTGCACGGGCTTACGTCATCATGCCCCAAAAACCAGAGTAATTAAATTTTTATTATTATGTTATTTTATTTTATTACCAGAACCAGATCCACTTTAATTTTGTTTCCTTGAGTGTGAATAATTCAGCAATAAATAGGTTTTATTCTATAAACCAACATCATATTTATACTGTTAAAGGGACAGTAAAGGTACAAGGAATTTTAGATGGGCTGTATGCTTTTTTATTGCATGCATCTTGTTCTTACAGGACTTTGTGGAATTGCTTTAAAGAAATACAATATAACTTGTAAGATAGAACTGTATGGCATGTGGCCTGAAATGATGCCTGTCTACTAAATAAGACACAATATTCATAGGCAGTAAAATAATCTGAATTTTCTTATTATTGGTCACAGGAACAAGTGTTTGCACCCGTTCCAGATCCTGGCCGCACAAACAAAGACAGCCACAGCCACCACGCCGGGGCACCTACCTGAAATGGGGAGGAGATCACAATGACCCCCACAGGGGACTCCAGGAGACTCCAGAGACATCTGGTCCATGCTTCAGAAGCAGGCCCAAAGCAAGATGGCAACGCCTGAAGCAGGTACAGCCACCAATACACCCCAAACTCCCACACAGGAGGAAACACAGCCTCAATTTGAACAACAGAGCTGTGAACAAGCAGCCCCACCTTACCCTGACCTCTCCAACTTAGCCACCAAGCAAGACATTAGGGCACTACTAGCGGACTTCAGACAGACCTGGGCAGCAGACATAGCAGTGATACAGACAGATCTGCAGATGGTGACAGACAGGGTCCGCGCCACAGAAGACGACATCATAGATGTAAAACAAACAGTGTCCACTACGGGAGAATCGCTCCAAGAAGTGCAGAGAGCCCAACAAACACTTTCCTTACAGCTTACTATGCTGGATGATCGGTCCAGACAAAACAACCTGAAGATCAGGGGGGTGCCCGAGACCATCTCAAAGGAGGAATTGCCCCACTATCTGAGGCACCTGGTGACTTCACTAGTATCATCGACACAAGCCAAAAAGTAATAATCGACAATATATTCCGCCTACCCAAATCATCCAGGGCCCCATCTCAGGCTGTCAGCGACATCCTCATCCACTGCACATCCGCTCAAGACAAGCGGACACTCCTAGCGGCACTACGAGACCGCACGCCCTACCGGTTCAAGGGCTCAGACCTGTCATTTTATCAAGATTTATCACGGCACACCCTGCAGTGGAGGCGCACAATGACCCCAGTGACAAGCCGACTCAGAAACGCCAGAATAGCGTACCGCTGGACGTCACCAAGACTATTCAGAGTGCTCCACAATGGGAACGCTCACACCTTATCTTCAGCAGAAGAAGCTCCAGCTCTATTCAGGAAACTGGGACTAACCGCACCTCCTGACGACCTAGCAAGCATCCACACTTGGGACCCGGCGACTGTAGTCCCATTCACCCCAAGACACCAACAGGACCCACGGAATGGGACCTGAAAGACTAACCAGACACGGCCCACACAAACAACCAAGGGCCGCATCCACACTACTTTAGTTCCAATACTACTGTTAAGAGTTATTATTTCTATTTGAACCGCTTACCTAGGCCAGCCTTACTACCAGGGTGGTCATGAGCCAGGAAACACAAGAGGGGAGTTTTACAACCCCCCCCCCCCGGTTCCCCCATGGTTAGGGGAACAAAACAATACTCTCACCCAGACACATAGGCCCCCAACGAGCCACACACCAGATTTCCAGCCACCACGGTAATACAATACCTGTACATTTTTGTTTTTTATACTTTAACAAGCCCATAGGCAGTGCTATACTCTACTCTACCGTATCATACTCTACGCTACTATACTACTCTTAAGTATGGCACACTACACACAAGCTACACTCCTGTAACCTTAAGAGCGACTAGCTCTATCCTATGCATATTTAGCCCAGCAAGTTCTACCACACACATAACGCCTATACGACTGATATCTCCATGTAATATATCAAAAGGTGTGCCGATAAGCTACGGTTCTGCCACATTTATATAAAACGTGCATTTCTTCTCATGTTGCATAAATGTTAGAACCCACTTGATGGTTCACTTGTGTTTAACTACTTTACTATTATTACGCTAAACTTGTTAGTAATATTATAGAACGTTACAATAATATAAAAGGAGGCAGTCACTCATAGGAGAGGTTGCATTATGTTAGCATGATCCCAATCTGTATGGAAAATGTACATCCCCTTCACTCTATTCTGTATCCCATTTAACATTTGCCTCAATAAAAGAAAGAATTAAAAAAAAAGAAAAAGAAAAAAAAAGTGTTTGCTTTTACTGACTCTATTAAATAAAAAAAATATATATAAATTATATATATATATCGTTCTTGCTATATTTTTTGAGATACACCCTGTTCCAAATTATTATGCAAATTATATTTTTCTCATTTACCTAAATAATTGATGTAAATAACAGTCAGCATAATTCTCATGTTATCAACTTTTAAGAGTACAATTCAAATTTTATTGAACAAACCTCCTAATGATAACAGTATTTTTTTAAAACATAAAAAACTTACAATGCACTGTTCCAAATTATTACGCACAGTAAGTTTCAAAACACTTTATAGGTTGTAAAGAACTGAAAATTGTCATTTGTTGTGTTTGCAGCATATTTACTGAAATCAAAAGCTATTTCAATCAAACTTATAACAACATTTTAACTTTTTAAACATTTTAACAGGTCACGTTACATTTTAACACAGGACCCCTTATTTGATAGCAGCTTCACAAGTCTTGCATCCATTGAACTTGTGAGTTTTTTGGACAGTTTATGCTTTAATTTGTTTGCAAGATGTCATAATAGCCTCTCAGAGCTGCTGTTTGGATGTAAACTGCCTCCCACCCTCATAGATCTTTTGCTTGAGGATACTCCAAAGGTTCTCAATAGGATTGAGGTCAGGGGAGGATGGAGGCCACACCATGACTTTCTCTCATTTTATCCCCATAGCAGCCATTGATGCAGTGGTATTCTTTGCAGCATGAGATGGTGCATTGTCATGCATGAAGATGATTTTATTACGGAAAGCATAGTTCTTCCTTCTGTACCAGGGAAGAAAGTGGTCAGTCAGAAACTCCACATACTTTGCAGAGGTCATCTTTACACCTTCGGGGACTCTAAAGGGGCCGACCAGCTCTCTTCCCATGATTCCGGCCCAAAACATGACTCCACCACCGCCTTGCTGACGTCGCAGCCTTGTTGGAACAAGGTGGCCTCCCACCAACCATCCACTACTCCATCCATCTGGACCATCCAGGGTTGCAAGGCACTCATCAGTGAACAGGACTGTTTGAAAATTAGTCTTCATGTATTTTTCTGCCCAATGCAGCCATTTCTGCTTGTGAGCATTGGTTAGTGGTGGCCGAATAGAAGGTTTAGGCACATTTGGAAGACTCTGGAGGACTCTACACCTTGATGTCCGTGGGACTCCAGAGGCACCAGCAGCTTCAAATATCTGTTTGCTGTAATGGTATTTTTGCAGCTGCTCTCCTGATCCAATGCATGGATCTGGCAGAAATCTTCCTCAATGTGCCTTTATCTGCACTAACCCATCTGTGCTCTGAATCAGCCACAAATCTCTTAATAGTGCGATGAGCATGCTTAAGTGTTCGTGAAATATCTAATGTTTTCATACCTCGTCCAAGGCATTGAACTATTTCACTCTTTTCGGCAACAGAGAGATCCTTTTTCTTCCCCATATTGCATGAAAATGGTGCTCTGCTTAATAATGTGGAACACCCTCCTTTAGTAGTTTTTCCTTAAATTGGGCTCACCTGGCAATCTAATTATCACAGGTGTCCGAGATCGTTTTCAGTGATCAAAAGAGCCCTGAGACACAATGCCATCCATGAGTTAAACTGAAAAACAAAATATTTCATCTTTGTGACACTTAAGTAGAATTTGCATGATAATTTGGAACAGGGTGTATATATCTACATATCTCAAAAAATATAGCAAGAACTACAGCCAATGCAGCGCCTCAGAGCATTTAGACAGCAAATAATGTAGCTCCTTGACAAATAAAATCTATAGGGTATCACCTTTTCCTGTAGTGAAATAAGAATTCAGGCACATGTCTGAAGGTTGGAAACTCAGTTCACAGTTTTCTCTCTTTCAGATGTTCCCTCTATTCACCAGCATTGGCAGGCAAGTGGAAATGCTTAATGGTCTAAGATAAAAATAAATAAATACATCAGTAAAGTTAGGGGAATAGAGTAGAGGAGGTAAGGATGTCATGGGGAAAATATTCCTATTCCGAGGAAGCCCCAACTGTTATGTCCTCCATTGCAAACATCCCACTGACTTACCAAACAACTTTTACACGCTCCCTACCGCACACACTCTGCACATGTATAATGCCAATGCACAGCTGATTCTTAAGTCATGAAAATACTGAAAGACAGAATAGTCTTTGGCATAGCCACATAGAAATATGATATAGATGGAGGGCCAGTGAAAGGAATTTAGTGCCGTCTTTTGGTTTCACCAGCCCTGTATTAATGTTACTGTTAGGACAGTACCAAGAGTGTACAAATCCATCTTATTGGATGTCAGTAAAATAGATATCAATGGTTGAAACAATAATTTATCATTTTAGCTAACTGTGAACAAATGTGACTTACATTGCATATTGTTGTAGCCCGATCCTACCATTGCCTCTATTGAGAAATTCAAACACTGAACTAGCCATTTCCCTTCAAAAATATTTCAAGGTTACAGTCACATTGAGAAGCATTTTCAAATATAGCACAATTATATATATTTCCTTCTAAGAAATCTATGCCTTTCATTGACTTTGAAATAGTGTTTGTTTTCCTTGAAAGCTCAAGCCGTTATTTTAAAAAGCATAAATATGTTGTGCCTATATCTAAATAGCTAACTCAGGAAGAATTAACCATTCCATTAATCAAGGAATGTGCATACAAGTGAGTATTGGTTGTTATAGAGGGTAACATAGGCCTTAATTTAAAATCCACATTGAATTAGTGACAATTCACACTTTTGTGAATGACGCCGAATAATTTTTTGAATAGTGAAATGTGATTTTTACACGGATGGGAAAGCTCTGGCAGGGTAAACTGGAAACCCTAAGACTATTTAATCCTGTATTTGACCTAGTATTGAATCAATGAATATATAAATGGCTGTAATTTCCATAAGTACAAAATTAATAAGTTATGGTGAATAGGGATCTTAATTAATTTGAAGAAACATTCCATCTTAGAAGAAGGAAATTCAAGCTACACAAACAAATAAAAAAAAAAAAAAAAAGAAGAAGAAGAAGGCCCCTGGCTTTATCTGATCTGTGAAAGCACAGTCACCCACTTAGCGGTGAAAGTTTTTCTCAAACAGGAAGTCAAGTCCCTTCTATTTCCTGAAGAAACCATTAATGCTTTTCAAGACAGTGGGAATTGATATCGTGAAAATTGTCTTTTATTATGTGATTTATTACTCGTTACACTTTAAGTAGCCTTGTTAAATGTAAAGCTGTATTTTTGTTTGTGTGTGCGCTGTTCCTTTAATTGTATATTGTATGTGTTTTGGACTTTACGGCAGCACCACTGCTTGGAAATGTATGTTTTGCATGTGCCCCCAATTCCCATTTTTTTCTGTGTGGATTTAGAATCTAGACCAGATTCCTACTGGGCTGAGCATTCCACTCTTCCGCTATGACCACATTAAAGCTTAAATTGAGGAGTCTCTTGGAG